TGAGGCCACGCTGGAACAGGTCTATCTCTGAAGGCATTGTGGCCCATGGAGAAGGCCATGCTGGAACAGGTGCACCTCAAAGCAACTGTGGTTGTGGATAAGTCTGTGCTGCAGCACGCATAGCCCTGGAGAAACTGTGGCTCATAGATAAGGCTCCGCCTGGAGCAGGTACGCCCCTAAGGGACTGCAGTCTGTGGATAAGTCCAAGCCAGAGTAGGCACAAGGGGAGGAGTTCATTGCAATGTTAAACCCTATGGTCTGGTCCAAAGGGACCAGGGGTGGAGATGCTAATGGAAATACCTTTAAATTGTTGTAACCCAGGATTTGAGTTGCATGTTATGGGAATTACTACAGCAGGAACCATCTGACCCAGTGGAGGAGAAGCCTTACAAGAAGCAATGCAAGTGCAGCAGTGACCCAACCTGAGCTGGCTTTGGTACCCAGTAACTCCTTGCAACACAGCACCTCTCCTGTCCCGAGTGACCACCGTAATAGATGGAGTCCAAAGTCATGGACTAAATGAACTCCGGTGACATTTTGTGGATATTTATGGACACTTTAAAGACATTTAATAGGGGTGGCCCATAGACTAAAGGAATGATATCTATGTATTATGTCAAAGGATGGGAAGGGGAGTGGTAGTTAATGAGGATGTATTGGATAGCATCGTACCTGAGCATGATATAAATGGCATGGAATAAGGGGTGGAGAATATGCTGGGTTTGGCTGGGGTAGAGTTAATTTTCTTCACAGTAGCTGGTATGGGGCTGTGTTTTGGATTTGTGCTGGAAACAGCGTTGATAACCCAGGGATGTTTTCGTAATTGATGAGCAGTGTTGACACAGAGTCAAGGCCTTTTCTGCTCCTCACCCCACCCCACCAGTGAGGAGGCTGGGGGTGCACAAGAAGCTGGGAGGGGACACAGTTGAGACAGCTGACTCCAACTGACCAAAGGGACATTCCAGACCGTATGATGGATGGCAGTGTTAGGTTAACGGTTGGACTTGATAATCTTAAAGGTCTTTCCCAGCCTAAACGATTCTATGATGTCATGCGCAGCATATAAAGCTGGGGGAAGAAGAAGGAAGTGGGGGATGTTCAGAGTGATGGCGTTTGTCTTCCCAAGTAAACTTTATGTGTGATGGAGTCCCGCTCTCCTGGAGATGGCTGAGCACCCACCTGCCGATGGGAAGTAGTGAATGAATTCCTTGTGTTGCTTTGCTTGAGTGCATGGCTCTTGCTTTACCTATTAACCTGTCTTTACCTCACCCCATGAGTTTTCTCACTTTTACTCTTCCAATTCTCTCCCCCATCCCGCTGTGGGGGGAATGTGCGAGCAGTTGTGTGGGGCTGAGTTGCCAGATGGGGTTAAACCACGACAAGGGCCAAACCAATGTGACAGCTGTTGCCAACTCCAGTCATTTACAGATTGTGAGATGGTTTATACAAAACCATGTTCCTGGCAAAGAAACAATTCATGTGGTGGGCTTTGTTTGGTTTTGCACTCCAGGTTCTCTACTCCCTCCTCTCCCTGTGAGAGCTGCAGCTGAGGGGAGACAGAAAAGCTCTGTAGGAGGCCTGGGACTGTCTACAGAGAAGAAGGGCAGGCAGCCAGAGGCTAACACAAAACCCCCAGTGCAAGCTCACTTTTCTGGAAAACAAAACAAAAAAAAAAAAAAAAAAAGGAAGAGTTGGCAGCATCAGTAGCTCAGCTGTGTTCTGGGGGAAACCAGAGCTCATCCAAACAATCCATGGGTTGTTTGGGTTTTTTTTGGGATGAGATGTTGTATTTGATGGCTAAATGAGATCTTTGGTTTGTCTGAAGTATCGCCTTGGAAGTTTGTTGTGTTTTGGTTGCACATCTGGAAGGATGCATTTTTGAGATGTTTCACACTGCCTGGATTACAAAGCAACTCATTTCCCAAGAGGACGATCAGCCAAAGATGCCTCATCAATGTCACGTTTGGTACTGTGAACTCTGAAGCCCAGTGTCTGGTTTTAAACATTTTGTTTAATGGACAGGAGGGAAAGAAAAATGAAGGAGGTGACACCTCAGTGCTGGGCAGGGACAAGAAGATGCTAATGCCTGTTGATCTGAGCATACTGGTGAGCCATGCCTGGGCATGACAGATGTCAAGAGGTCCAAATGTGAACTTGCCAGCAGAATACGCTGTTAATTTTCTCTCACCAGACAACCACAAAGGGGAAGAAAAGCTATGATCAACAAATGCACCACACAGGGTGAAAACACTTTCCCTGCAATACATCAAAAGGAAAGTTGGGCTCCAGGCCAGAGCTGTTACTGCCTTTACCACCAGGCAAGCTGGCACAGGAAAGGGGGAAGCAGAAGGAGCAATTTATACCTCAACGTGACGTGAAGTGAAAAGTCCAGTTTCACTGGACATAAGAAAGCAAAGACCTGGTAGATGAGACCAGCTGGAGGGGAGGGAACGAGTCAAGGGTTGAGACAAGTCCACTGAGGCTGGTAGTGTGCGGGGGACCAGGACGGGCAGAGTGAAGGAGGGAGACCAAACCTCATCTAGATGTTTTTTTACAGCAGCAGAGCGGGAGTTGCTGCAGGGTCTGGAGGGAGAGTTGGTCCGCTCAGAGCCCAGCTGAGCCCAGAAACCACTACTGAGGGTTTCTTTTTGTGGCCTTCCACTTCTGCACTGGGATCCCCAGCAATTGGACACTTTGAAAAAGCTGCTTGCTTCTGCTTACAGGGACTTTCTCCTGCTGGCAGATTTCTGCATGCATTGTGCCCTCTTTTAGGCCCTTATTGCCTTCCCAGCTCTTCCCCTCCTCTTCGCCACACCAGTTTAAGTGCTTCTCTCCTTGTCTACAAATTTAGAGGAACCCATTCTTGAAATTCCTGGACTTCAGAGCACCTGACCATACCAGGATTACACTGATTGATCCTTTGTCGGTGAAGTGCCTTAAGGTTTTCACTGTGTTTAAAAGGATTTACTGGTTGCATTGCCAGTCATACCATCACCCACCTGGTTCCTGGACTGAAAGCCCCCAGTTGTGAAT